GGAAGTAGAACAAAGCTGGAGGCATCACATGTCCTGGTTTCAAACTATATTACAAAGCGATTGTAATCAAAACAGTATGGTGCTGGCATTAAAAAAAGACTCATACTAATGAAGCCAAATAGAGAACTCACAAATAAACCAATGCATATTGGGTCAACTGATCTTCAACTGAGATGCCAAGAACAAACAATGGGGGAAATATAGTCTTTCCAATATATTATATTGGGAAAACTGGATATCCACATATAGAAGATGAAATTGGATCCTTACATTAAAACATATACAAAAATCCACTAACAATGAATAGAAGATTTAAATATAAGATCTGAAACTATAAAGATCCTAGAGGAAACATGGAAAATAAACTCCATCACATTGATCCTAGCAATCATTTTTTGGATATGATTCCCAAAGAACTAGCAACAAAAGCAAAAATGAACAAGTGAGACTGCATCAAACTAAAAAGCTTCTGCACAGCCAAAAAAAAAAAAAAAAAAAACCAAAAAAAAATGAGAAGGCAACCTACAGAATGGGAGAAAATATTTGCAAACTATCTATCTGAATAATGGGTTAATATCAAAAATATAAGGCAATCATACAACTCAATAGTAAAAAACAAAACAAAATACAAAAACAAATAACCTGATTTAAACATGGGCAAAGGACCTGCATAGACATTTCTCCAAAGAATACATACATAGGGCCAACAGGTGTTCAACATCTCTAATCCTAAGAGAAATGCAAATCAAAACCACAGAGGTATCACTTTACACTTGTTAGGATGGCTATTATCAAAAAAAGAGACAAATGTTGGAAAGGATATGAAGAAAAGGGAACTCTTGCACACTATTGGTGGGAATGTAAATTGGTACAACCATTATGGAAAACAGTATAAAGGTTGCTCAAAAAATTAAAGATAGAATTACCATATGCTCCAGCAATCCCAATACTGGGTATATATCTGTAATAAATAAAATGAGTACCTTGAAGAGATATGTGCACATCCGTGTTCATTGCAACATTATTCCGAATAACAAAGATATGAAAACAACCTAAGTGTCTATGGACAGATGAATGCATAAAAAAATTATGGGATGTGTATATATTCATACACACATACACATACACACACACACACACACACACACACACACACACACACACACACACACACACACACACACACACACACACACACACACACACACACACACACACACACACAGAAGATGTAATATTCAGCCTTAAAAATGTAGGAAATCTTGCCACTTGCAACAATATGGATGAACCTGGAGGACGTTTTGTTGAATAAGCAAGCCAGTTACAGAAAGACAAATATTGTAAGGTATTACATACATGTGGAATCTAAAAAAGTTGAAGTTACTGAAAGAGAGTAGAATGGTGGCTGCAATGAGCTGGGAGGTAGAGGTAACAGGGAGATGGTGGTCAAATGGTACAAATTTTCAATTATAAGATGAATAAGTTCTAGAGATCTGATATACAGTATGGTAACTGTAGTTAATAATGTGTTATATACCGTAAAATTGCTAAGAGAATATATTTTGTCTTCTCACACACCCCCGAATACAGACTAATTATGTGATATAATCAGTATGTTAATTAACTTGATTTTGAGAATCATTACACAAGGTATATTTATACCAAAACACCATATTTTTCACTTTAAATACATACAATTTTTTATTTGTCAATTATACCCTGAAAAAGCTAGCAAAAATCTAGAAAAAAAACTATAAAAAATTTTGCCATAATATCTAACTGACGTCAGAGTAGGGATGGCACAGTGCAAAAAAAAAGATAGGAACTCAGAAAAATAAAATTGATATATTATATTGCATTAGTATTTATATCCCATTTGAACAAATAAAATAAAAAAAACAGATGAATGCTTGAGAATATGACATTTACTACAAACTATGGCTAAAGGTAGTATTCTGAAAATATAAAATATTAACACTTCATAAAGAAATAACCAGGCAGAGAATATAAGCAATAAACTCACACGCAAAAACTTACAAGTAACCAATAAATTAAATTAAACTTCACATAGAATGATTACATATTGTAATGATGAATAAGCTAACTATACTGATCAAACCAGCACACATTCTACACAATTATTGAAAATTAACATTGTACCCCACATGTATGTATAATCAAATAAAATAAATAAAAAATAAAAAAACTTCAGTTACTAATCTAAGAAATAAGTATGAAAAAGGAAAATATTAATTATAAAATAAAAGATTGATAAATTAAGACTTCATTGAAATTTAGAACTTATTTTTGTCATAACTCACCAGTAAGAGGGTAAAAAAGCACAACTGAAAAAAATGGACAAAACAAGAAAGGCCATCTACCTTCCTTACATTTTCACAAAGCAATTTATTAAATTCTATCTAGCAATACTGAAAACATCTACTTTTCAGAACTTTAAGACAAAAATTCATCAGTATTTAATATTAGATATTAAAAAACAAAAAAGTTGAAAAAATTAAATATTATAGAATTCATACATTCTTAAGATTGATTTTTGACATTTATTTAACATTTTTTTCAATTACAAGAATGAGAGGCTGGCCAGTTTCCTCACTCAGTAGAGCATGGTGCTAGTAACACCAAGGTCTAGGGTTTGGATCCGCGAACTGGCCAGCTGCCAAAAGAAAAAACAATAAACAAAAAAATTGAGTCTATTAACATAAAAAATATAAATCTTCCCACAATTCTAAAGTTAGAACTTGTGCAGCTAGGAGTTTACATAACCACTTTTTTAAAAAAGTGTTACTAAAGTTTGAGATATTAGAAAACTAAAGGCATAAGACTCTTTAAACCTTAGACCTCCCTGGAACTAAATATTAAGTAGCAAGACAATTCATTTTCTTCACTAGACAATAAAAGATCAAGTAACATAAAAGAAGAATATAAAATTATAAAATTTTAAACCCTTAATTACCATTTTATGTATAATAATTGAAAGTTTATTGTAATCCTATAAATAAGCATATACACAGTCAGGCACTACATAACATGGTCTTGGTCAAGGACCGACTGCACATGCAATGGTGGTTTCATAAGATTATATACCATGGGTCTACTTTATATTTTCTATGTTTAGACATGTTTGATATGCACATATTTACCATTGTGTTACAATTATGTACAATATGAAGTACAGTAACATGCTGCACAGATTTGTAGGCTGGCAACAATAGACTACACCATGTAGCCTAGGTGTGTAGTAGGGTATACCATCTAGGTTTGCATAATTACACTGTATGATGTTTGCACAGAACAAAATCACCTAATGACTCATTTCTCATCAACCCGTATCCCTGTCATGAAGCAAGACATGACTGTACTTATATGGCTTCATGATCATATTCCTCAGGACCAATGTAATAAATTTAATAAAGAGTAGGAATTAGGTTCTACATTTCTTGACCATCTAATTATATTTCACGTGTATTATTTTGGGAGAGTGGAGTATTTCAACTTCCTTACACAAACTCTAGTTTGACTTCCAGAAGAGATTACATGTCTCAAAAGTAAAACCAATTTAGAAAGTTAATTTCTCACAATTAAATATTCGTGACCCTTCTAAAGTAACTAAGTAATTGGCTTAAAAATAAAATATAATTAGATAACCAAGCAATAAAGTGCAGGAAACAATTAAAAATATAACAATCATATCAATTTTAACTACTATTTAGTAAGCTATATAGATGAGCTCTTTATTCCCTTCAATCATAATGTGAATAAACCAAGAGAAACCTGATAAATATTACTATATAAATCTTAGAAATTAAGTTATACATCCTTAATATTAACTTTTTAAAAAAACTATTTGGAAATATTTCTAGTATTTTTCTCACTGTATGAGCATCTTAATCAATCACCATACAATGAAGAAATAAATTTGTCAAATTAATTTCCTAACTAATTTTACTGAGTAGTAATTTGTAGTAATATTTCTTGAACAGTTATTTATTTACCTTAATTTAGGTATTAAATCAACATTACAAATAAGAAAGAATTTTTCCAGTAAACATACAATTTTAAAAATCACTCACTCCAAGAAATGATCACATAGAAATTAATATAAATAAAACTTGCAAACATTTCTAGCCACTGAGCATAGGCTGTCACTCATTAATATAAAGGGGGAAGGAAAGATCTGTATATATTTAAAAGATTTTAAAATGGAACAGCCTAGTTGGCATATATGAGCTATTCAAGTAACTCTGTAATATAAATTTAATCTAAAAATGAGTTATCAAGGAATGAATAAATGAACGAATCTCAACATCACAACATTCAAGCTTTTCTTTCACAAAAGTGTAAATTAAAAACACAACCTTGACTATTTCGAGATACAAAGAACATCCCAAATGTTTCCTAGAAATAAAACTGAAGGCTTCAGCAGCCTCCCACTAACTATGTTAAAACTGAAACATACAACACATACACAGCAAAGATTAAAAAATCAGTGATGAGAGGTACTGCATCTTAAAGAAGGAACTGTTAAATACTGCTAATCCTATACCATTAATAAAATATTAAAGATAAAGCAAAAATATGATTAATAACACACAGCAAATAATTTCAAGTGGGGTCACAAGAAAAGGGTATCTACTTAACCCCTCCGTTAAAGTGTAAAATTAATCAGAAAATCCAAACATCCTAGTTATTTCAAGTATTACTGCATGATTTTTAGAATATAATATTCATTGAAAAATTTAAGCACATTCTTTGGCTGTTTCAATATTATTTGCATGAGTGTTTTTATGAAGAAATTCATCATCACAGACATTCATAGACCCTTTATCATCAAGGGTCAATACATGTTCTACTATTGTTCAAGTCAAGAAATACCCCCCCACACACACACACACACCCCATCACTTTGAACAAAAACAGCATTCTTTTTGTAATGAAAATACTCAATGGTTATTAGAGGTAAATACTCTTTTAGTACTTACCTGTATTTTAATAGGCCAGGAAAAGTTGCTGACATACACATAGAATGTAATGTTAGGATTGCTTCTGAAGTTAAATTTTTCATAGGAAAAACTATCTCTGTATTCCTTTATATTAGTCTTGGAAATTATAAGAGTCTCTTCCCCAGATATTGTTCCAGCTAAAATGTAAATAATAATAAAAAATTTAAATAATTTATATTAGAAAACAGAAATCTCTATGAACTTAAACTTATATATATTACACATAATTTTTTATAATTGCTCTTATAAAATCATAATTATCCCAATATACTCATGCTTATAATTTTTTTTTTTTTTGTCTTTTTTACTGGCCGGTAACGGGATTGCAACCCTCAGTGTCGCACCCGTACCGGGGACCGGCAACGGGATCGCAACCCTCAGTGTTGCGCCCGTGCCGCACTCAGCCAGTGAGCGGGAACCAGTCACCACATGGGATCTGAACCCTCAGCAGGAGCGCCGCTGCACTCTCAAGTGGTGCACTCTCCAGTGCGCCACCGGGCCGGCCCCATGCTTATAATTTTGAGTGACAAAAGAAAATAAGTTTTCCATAAATATAATAGAAATAGATTTAGTACAAAAATTATTTTTAAAAATGCTACCACTGATTAAGTTTTATGTTCTTAGCACTGGCTTAGAGATTTTATATTCTTTTCTAATAACAATTCTATCCCAGAGGTATCATCATCTCTATTTTTCAAATAGAAACCTGAGCCTCAGAATGATTAAAGCACTTGCCTCAATTTTATAGCTACTAAGAAGTAATCTATCTCCTGTTTGGAACTCAAATATGTATGGCTCCAGAAACTGAGCTCTTTCTACTTACTACTCCATAGAGCCTTTCAAAATGATTCAGATCACATTTTTATGTCTCAATACAATTAAAAAATAAAAAATAATTCAACTTATTCATCTTACCACAAATTGAACCATCACTAATTTAAATAAATTGGGAGGAAGCCATAATTTAAAATATTTGCTAAATGCTCAATTAGTTAAACACATATTGTACACTCAAAAAATATTTATTGACGTTAACCAAATGGAACAAAGCATTTCTAACAATCTTAGCAAGACCTCCACCTTAATCAACAGTAAAAATAATTAGAGTAAGTATACTGAGTAATTAAATTAATTTCTAACTGGTCACCTACTCCAAAATTACCTTGTGGTTTTTTTTAAAAAATGCAGATTCTTTTTTTTTTTCCTTTTTGTCTTTTTTCGTGACCGGCAACGGATCGCAACCCTCAGTGTCACGCCCGTACCGGACCGGGACCAGCAACGGGATCACAACCCTCGGTGTTGGGATCGCAACCCTCGGTGTTGTGCCCACACCTCGCTCAGCCAGTGAGCAGCCGGTCTGTATGTGGGATCCGAACCCTCAGCGGGAGCGCCGCCGCACTCGCAAGCGGCGCACTGTAGCAGTGCGCCACCGGGCCGGCCCCTAAATGCAGATTCTAAGACCTCATCTCCCAACCTCATAATTCAAAATTTCTGAGATTTGGTTCTGGGAATCTGAAAGTTACAAGTGATTTCTTGCATGCTAAAATTACTGTTCTAAAGTAAATTAGAAATGTCATATATTTTTGCAGACATGTTTTAAAAAACTCCTGTAGAGTCTTTATTGTTCAGAAATAAATTTCAAATAAACAAGTTATAATCTGTTATTAACGAGACTCACAGTGCCAGGATTTTATTATATGTTTGGTACTATAACAAAATGTCTATATATCTGCTTGAACTTTTCATTTTTCACATGTAATATAGGCTCTGGAATTACAAAAGATATTTTCATTCTTGAATTCTACGAATACATGATTCTACACATTAAAATAGCATAATAATTTAATTTTAAAAAATCAAACGAATTTTTAAGAAACAATATCTAGCACATTTATTCAACAATATACCTTCAATATAAAAAAAGGTAATAGAATTTTCTGACATAAGTATAAAAAAGTAAGCATACATTTTCAAAATTTAACATAAAAATCTCAACTTTTTAGTTATATTTTTAAAAAGTCAATGACTTCAATTTATAAACATATTATGGAAGATACTTTATATGTAAGTTTTTTAACCCCTCTTAGCACTGAAACTGACATGAGGGGGTATATTTCTTAGCTTGAAAATAATAGGTAAGTTGTTATTTTTATTAGCATGCACAGTCTTCTAATATTGTTTTATATAAATACTAAGGTTAATAATTAAATTTATAGTTTCAATAGTGAATCAAGTAGTTGAAATCTGTCTCCTTAATCATTAAAGGAGTAATACATATCAATTAAAACTACAGCATTTTGTAAGACTGCCTTTTAGAAAAAATTAAGTAGTGTATATGTTGTTACCCATCTAATTTTAAGAATGAGGGAGAAATTTAACGTAATAAAGCTTTGTTCACATTGCTACTTATTATTTTTATCAGTAACAGCAGAATGATTATGGCATATAATATTTTGTTAAATTTCATTTATTTAAATTAACAGTGAAAGGTCATGCTAGAACAATATCTACATAGGAACACGTGAAAAAAAACATGACACCATAATTATTTTACCTGTTGAGCCAACCGACCATGTAATGTTGAGATTAAAGTTGTTGGATGCATTAATCGAAATATCCAAATTTTTGTTTGACTACCAAGAAAGGAAATATTAAGGTTAAAAAAATCAAATTACATTAGATAGCTATGTTAGTCTACTGATTTAATTATGTGCATGCTATAGCTCTAAAACTTTACAAATTGTGTAAATATTCAACTGAATAAGTGTATATGCCATTAACAATTTTTTTTTTTTTTTTTTTTTTTTTTTTTTTTTTTTTTTTTTTTTTGTCTTTTGTCTTATTTTTCCGTGTCCGACAACGGATTGCAACCCTCGGTGTTGCCCCCGTACCGGACCAGGGACCGGCAACGGGATTGCAAACCTCGGTGTTGCTCCCACGCCTCGCTCAGCCAGTGAGCGGGAGCCGGTCTGTATGTGGGATCCGAACCCTCGGGCGGCAGCGCTGCCGCGCCTCCTAAGCGGCGCACTATCCAGTGCGCCACTGGGCCGGCCCCATTAACAATTTTTAATGAAAAAAATATGTGTGAGAAATTTAAGGGTCCTCATTTACGTTGTCTGCTATAATTTGGCCTTTTGTATATAAGCCAAAGTCTGCTGTAATTCAATATACGTATTTTGATTTTCTTCACTTACTTGTAGTTAGTACTTAAATGGTACAGGTTTGGATTAGTACAAAGCAATTTTACACAATATAAGATTGTTTTGTTGAAAGATGTCTCATTAGTTGCAAATTTATTATTATACACACAATTTCTAGTGGAAAAAACCCTTTAAATACGTAAACTAAAACTTTTAGGTAAAAAATGATAAACATGCCCTGAAAAAAGAGCATATCACATTGTTTAAACAGCTAGACAGAGGAAAACTGAAGAATTTAATTTTATGTCAGTCAACCTGCTTCTTGTCATTCATTAGTAGAGTACAGACTCTTTCCCTCTTAATTGCAAGGAAACAAATGATTAAGAGACTTTGTTTTAATGTTAGTTGTGATTTTCTCACTCCAAGAAGGGAGGAACAGAAAGTAGACATGACTACAACTATTTAGTCCTGCATAAAGGCAAAGAATCATCGTGATATTAAATAGGTTTAGTTTCAGATATTCAATGTATTATGCTTTGTTTTAAATATACAAGGACTTGTAGAAAAACCTATACTGCTAAGTGAGACCTGGCTAGTGGAGAGAGAGAATATTATTTCTTTAGCATCTCTATTTTTTTCTAAACACGATAAAGCAGGTAAGACGGTAGAAAATATATCCCCAATTTTTTTGAGTGGCTTTTAGGAGAAGATAAATAAGTAAGCAATTAAGTTCCCCATTTCTGATATAACAGGCTTAAGGGGAAACTGACTGAAAGAAATGGTGGACAAGGAAGGAGTGCCATAAACGGTGAAGGTCGCTGGAGGTTGTGTGACAGCCATCCTATTCAAATGATACACTAAGCCCCAATTTATGTAACAGTAAGTGAGAAGGATACTTCATTATCCATCACAGTCATACTCATAAATGGCCATGAAAGGGAGAAGGAAGTTAGTTTATTGAGTTCTATCGATAAGCTGTTAAGATCCCTTCCACAATATGTGTCGCAAAACTGTCAAACTTCTTGAGATTTTCCTATTTTTTAAAAGGTAGGAGTGAATACAGAGATGACACCGATTCAAGGTAAAGCCACAAAGACAGTTGAGTAACTTTTCAACTCTAGTAATAAATGCAAAATAATTGAATGTCAACATGCAGATACTGTTGAGTAGATTGTTATTCAGTCGTGGTTATGCAAAAGCTATTTCGGCATCTATGTAATTTTGTATTAAGGAAAAATCCAGATATGGAAGGAAGAAATATCTCTGATAACAAATTGATTTATGTAATCATTATGAAATAACCATATCTGAAAGCCAATAACTGCTTCATAATCAGTAAATCATCTTAACGAGGCAGTGAAAAGAATTAGTGAAGAGTGTGCTCTGTTGAGTCAGATGACCTTAGATTCAAATCTTAGCTCTATTTAATATACATGCTGATCGGTTAGGAGAAAATTACTTGTCCTTTTCAAAAAATCAGTTTTCTTATGTACAAAATGGGAATATAATGAACACCCTCAAGAAGTGCATGTAAACATTAAATGAGATAATTTCTCAAAAAACATATGCTTTCAGGCCATCATGCTCATAACGGCAGGGTTGTTATTAGGTCTGGTGACTCAGGATATATTCTTTTTGTTCTCTTTCTTTATCTTCATCTTCACCCAGAGATCTATGAGATTTAGAAAGAGGATATGCTCATCAACTTTTGACAGGAGGTAGAATTTTTTAAACTATTAATGAAGTAGTTAAAAAATAATTGCTCTTTTTTGAGAAAGCAAAACATGGTGGAAACCATGTACCACTAAGAAAACTGAAATCCTTATTTTCTCTTGAAGTCACCTCTTCATGATTGTGCGTGCTTTATTCTGGGTGAGGTAAATATGAGAATAACTGCTGTTGGTGCTAAAGTCACACAAAGTGATACAAAAAATTATAAAACTCTTCTAAATGGTACAGAAAATTATAAAACTCTTCTTGAATTTTTAATTTATCTTCCATCTAGGCATTGCTGAAATATACGGTACCGTATATTTATAACTTAAGCCCTGTGAAAAGCATTTAGGGTTAAAAATGTATTGAAAGAAGTGATACTGTGGTCTTCCCAATAAATGACAAAATTGGTCATTTAGAACATTGTTGATTAGATGTGGATAAGTTCAGAAAGATCGTGTTAAATAGAAACTTACTGCAGAAATTTTTTATGTGAAAGCACTGACTAGAAGTGATCCATAGTTGGTTAGAATTAAATCGGTTGTCAAGATGTAAGAAATGTATAAATAATTAAGGAATCTACTCTTTATTATTACTTTCAAGTAGGAAGCCTTGGCCAATAAGCCATATTAATTTCCGAGATTGTTCCCAGGCAAATATATCTTTAATGATAGGAGATTACACAAAATGATGTTATAAGCATTCTAAGGATAACTTCATGATAGTTTAATATCCTTAAGATTCAAACAATGCTTGTCTGGGTTCTTGGCTTCAATTGGACAGGACAGTAGAAAGTAAAACTAAAACCTAGGATATTTGAAAGCACTCAGCATTTCTGGAAATTGAAGGGAAAAAGGATGGTGAGGAGAGAAGCAAACTAGAATTGCAGCTAATCTGGACATACATGTATGACAATGTGGATGATACTGGGAAGAAATATTATTCACTCTCAAATTTTGTCAAATATCCCATTTACATTAAATTTCTTAGATCCTCAAAGTACCCCACAGGTTTGGAATTACTATTAAACAATCAAAAAGCCAATGATAAAGAATGAAATTCTGATACATACTACAACATGGATGTCCAGTGGAAACATTACGCTAAGCAACATGTGCCAGACACAAAAAAACAATATTGCCTGATTATGCTTATATGAGGTACCTAGAATTAGCAAATTCATAGACACAAAATAGAATAAAAGTACCAAGGGCTGAGGGGGAAGAGAGGAAGAGGGAGTTACTGCTAAATGAATACAGAGTTTCTGTTAGGAATAATAAAAAGTTTGGAGATGACAGTGATGATTGCACAACACTGTAAGTGTACTCAATGCCACTGAATTGTACCCCTAAAATGGTTAAAATGGTAAATGTTATATTATTTCTATTTACCACAATAAAAAAGGAGTCAATTGTTATTATAACATAGTTATAAAAACTTTATCATACTGTAAATGTAGTTTCTGACATTATTTCAAGCAATCTTCAAAAAGTTCACAGGAAGATTCATCTTATCTTTTAATTCTATTTTTCTACAAATGTTTTGAAGTATCCTTGTAATATACTGCTACAGAAACACAAATAATCAGTGAAAAGAGGATTATATTTGAAAAAAATATCTATATAATCCTTATTTGAAAGTCAAAACTTTAGATTTATTCTTAAGAATGTAGTCACTCAAAATCTAAAGAATAGGAATAATACTGAATAAACAGTTTTTTTGGTTGGGGTGGGCAAGACCTTATTTTACTAGAAAAGGAAACTAAAGTAACGTTATTTGTCAGCAAGTGTAATAGAATAGAAGGAAAGAAGCTAGAAAATATCAGGATATATTTAGAAATTGCACCTATTTGAAAAACTATTCAAATATATGATACAGACTTAACAATATGGATTAATATATAATATAATAATAATAATACACATATTTAACATAACATCTTCATTTTGAGTCAGTTACTTATAGTTCCAAAGGATCTAAAATTCCACCCAAATAAACTATATGGTTGATATTTCCATTCCCTGGACTTTTCAATTTTTAAAGTCTCAGATGAATAGCAATATATGTGTGTTATTTCTAGAAAACCTTACAGCCTTTTCCTGAATTGATGGTTTGATATTAAAGTTCACAATTAATCTTTCATACATTTAAACTTCATAAGCTTATAAAATTAGATCACTGACACAGTAGCTTCCTTAAAGAAGCCCTCCTTCCTATAACTCAGATAAACCAGTGGATTTATAAAAAAGACAATGAAAACCTACTACTATGGAATGGTATAAAGGAAAAAGAGAATATTTAATATAGCATGTTTTGAATTCATAAGCTTTCTTTTCAAATAAGACTCCTTTGAGTTTAAAATATAATTATAAAGATAAATCTATTATAAGAATATATATAGAAATAATATATAATTTAAATTATAAGAATGTTTGCAAAATCTGAAATATCAAATTCACAAATTCTCTGAATCACAAGGATACCTAACTTTTATGAAAAGAAAAAAATAACAGGATTAGTCTTTTCTATAAAAGCCCTACATTGTGATCGCTCTGAGAAAAGGAAAAATCACAATGAAAGATGACAGAAAAGTTGTAATTGTATAATTACATTATAAAAGATAATGCTCTTTCCTCACCTGTTCTGGGTTTGCAATGAAGTTTATGGCAGTATGGTGGCGATCATCTTCCTGTAATAAGCTGAAGGTAAACTGATAGTCAATCAAAAGGCTGTCTGTGGAAGGGGGAAAAAAAAGTAGAATACCAATATGTATTTTTAAAAACTGTCTAGAAAACAAAAATTAAGTGAAAATATGTTGCATACCAGTATTGAAAATGATTATCATTAAATACTGTGACCTATTCAAGACTAGCAAAATACAAATCTTTGTCATCAAGCAACAAAAAGAGAAACACAGATATGAAAGAAGTCCTAATTCCTTAAAAATTGTATTTATTATTTCTGTTATTATAAAAATACTACATAAACACTATACACATTCTGGAAACTATACAAAAGTAAGAAAATAAAATAAAAGTTATTCACAATCTTAAAACTAGAGAAAAATACAGTTAGTATACTGGCGCATTTTATTCCAGTTAAAATTCTATAGATACAAAGGTAGACATTTTAGTATACTACTTTCATAAAATCAAAATTCTTTGATGAAGGTTTGAGAATACTACACTTCCATTAAAAAAAAATTAAATCTTACCATTCGCAGCAACATGGATGAACTTAGAGAAAATTATGTTAAGTAAAAAAAGCCAAGCACAGAAAGAGAAATACTACATGTCCTCATTCATGTGGGAGAAGAAAGGAAAGGAAAAGAAAAAGAAAAAAGGAAAGGAAAGGAAGAAAGAATGAATCACAATAACATTGAACTTTCAAAAAAAAAGAGAAGAGAACTTGTTATTAGAGGTGAAGGATGGAGAGGGGATGGGTGATTAGTGGGAAATTGGTTAAAGGTCACAAAGACTAATTATGTTTTGTAAACACGAAAACACTAATTTTCCTGATTTGATCACCACATATTGTACACAGGTATTGATATTCAAATCTGTGCCCCACAAATATGTATCATCCATTATGTTTCAATAAAAAAAAGTCAAAAAAAAAATAGAATGATGTTAAGACAGATAATAAGAGATAGACAAGGAGCTAGGTAATAAAATATTAAATGGATAAAGTTAAATAAAGTGCCCAGAAGTTCAGTGAAAGGCAGCAAGAAGGAACAGTGGAATACTGCTCCAAAGAAGATGAAGTTTCTGGATGATAAAGTTAAGCAATTATTTGTGAATGTCAAAAGGGAGCAAGGCAGATACTTATCTCAAGTCTAGACTGTAATTTATCACACTATAAAAGAAAAAAACAACTAACACTGCCATTAGGTAACACCCAGTTTTCAGGGTACACCAAGTTTCAGTTAAAGTAAAATAGTAAAGAATTGCAAAAAGAGAATAAGAATACATTTAGTGATTTGATTTAAAAAGTAATAATTTTTTTAAATGGAAAGAGTAATGCCCTGAAACCAATAAGTACACTTAGCTCCCAGATTCTGAATTCTAAATACCATTCTCCAATGTGAGAAGCCATGGCTTCTCAGGAAAATTGGTGATTCCAGGGCTGAGGCAGGGAAAGTACAAGGTGAATCTGAAGTATCTTGTTGTGCCAGAAAATAAGGATACACTTAGAAAATGATGGAGTCATGTGCAAAGGACACAGTAGTCAATTCAGGGGGATCTCAATGATCAGATCTAGAACAATTAGAACTACAAAATAAATAATGATGATAATTTATTATAAACAGAAAAATAAAATATATATTCATGAGTTCACACTGATATAAATAAATGAGTGATTAAATGAATAAATGAGGGGAAAGGACAGCTATCCCTTAGAGTTAATAAACATAGAAGAAACGATGGAATAGAAAATCATCATTTGAGGGGCTGGTTGGTTAGTTTATTTGATTAGAACGCAGCCTTGTAACACCAAAGTCAAGGTCTTGGTTCCGCCCACCAAAAAAAAAGATATAAAGAAAATCACGATTTGATAAACACATTAATAATATATAATTCTTTCAGGTAAGAATAATCAATGCGTGATAAAAGTTGCCTTTTCTGTCTGTGTCCATTTATTGGCTAGTGGCCTCTTTGCTGCACCTCTCCACTTCTTACTTGCATCAGCACATCTGCCACTACTGTAGTCAAATCTCCCTCTGTCCGCCTTTCATAAGAACACTTGTGATTACACTGGGCCCACCAGGATAATCTCCTCATTTCAAGATCCTCAACTTAATCATATCTGCTAATTCTCTTTTACCATTTAAGGTAAATATGTACCACGGGTTCCAGGGGATTCGGATATGGACATCTTTGGGGCCTACTACAGAGTGTCAGTACATAGATAAAAGACAGAAAAACTATCTACTACAATGTAAGCAACAATTTTTGCTAGGTAAAGGAATTGTCAATGATTTCAATTTGTCTTTTTGTCTACCTTTTCACAATAATGAATATGTATTATATCCATAATTGGACTAAAAATGAGAAAAATGTTTTTAAATGAGTGTTTAGAGAGCTTCTTTCTTTTGATCCTTGATCTCTAATGTTTCTCACATGATGTACACTTGCATGTTAAATATTTAGATTTACATAGTTATACTTCTTTCCAAAAGTGGCATATTTCACTCCTAATTGACATACTTCTTAGGCATAGGCTTACAAAAATGCAATAAAAACGTAAAAGATGATAAGTCATCCTCATCTTATATGATTAGAGTACATCTGGATCATCAAGTTTTAACACGAAGCAGCATTTTCTTCCCAAGTCCATTTTTTTATTATTATATTTATCATTACAAAATGTAATCTTTTGTGGTCCTTTAACAATTTCTTGCTAACCCCCCATTCCCTTCCCCTTCTCCACCTTTTGGTGGCCTCAGTTCTGTTCTCTCCTTTTGAAAACTCAACAAATTATTGTGGGGATTGTATCTTTCTTTTTTTAGCTCCCACTTACAAGTAAGGACATGTGGTATTTCTCTTTCTGTGCTTGGCTTTTTCCACTTAACCTAATATTCTCTAAGCTCATCCATGTTGCCGCAAATGGCAGAATTTTATTCCTTTTTATGGCAGAGTAGTATTCCGTTGTGTATATATACCACATTTTCCTTATCCAGTCATCTGTCAATGGACATTTAGGTTGGTTCCAACTCTTGACTCTTGTAAATAGAGCTTTGATAAACACAGGAGTGCAGGTATTCTTTCAACAAGATGATTTCCATTCCTTTGGGTATACACCCAGCAGCGGAATTGCTGGATTGTATGGGAGTTCTATCTGTAGTTGTTTGAGGAACCTTCATACTGTTTTCCATAACAGCTGTAATAATTTACAGCCCAATCAACAGTGTAGGAAGAGTCCCTTTTCTCTGCATCCTTGTCAGCATTTGTTATTCTCTGTCTTTTTGATAATGGCCTGTCTAACTGGCATGAGATGATATCTCAGGGTAGTTTTGATTAGCATTTCTCTGATGCTTAGTGATGAACCTTTTTTCATGTGTCTGTTGGCAGTTTGGATATCCGCCTTTGAGAATTGCCTATTCAGCTCCTTTGCTCATTGTTTAACTGGATTACTTGTTTTCCTGCCCCTAAGTTGTTTGAGTTCTTTGTATATTCTGGATATTAATCGCTTCTCAGATGCATAATTTGCAAATATTTTCTCCCATTCTGTAGGCTGGCATTTTGCTCTGTTAACTGTTTCTTTTGCTATGCAGAAGCTTTTTAGTTTAATATAATCCCATTTTTTTAACTTTTTCTTTTGTTGCCTGTGCTTTTGGGGTCTTATTCATAAAGTCTTTGCCCGGTCCTAAAGTCCTGAAGTGTTTCCCCTATGTTTTCTTTTAGGGGTTTTATAGTTTCAGGACTTATATATAAGTCTTTAATCCATTTTGATTTTGGTATATGGAACTAGATTCATTCTTCTACATACAGATGTCCAGCTTTTCAGGCACCACTTACTGAAGAAACAGTCTTTTCCCCAATGTATGTTCATGCTGCTTTTGTCAAAGATCAGTTGGCAATAAGTATGTGGGTTGATTTCTGGGTTCTCTATTCTGTTACATTGGCCAGAGTGCCTGTTTTTATGCCAGTACCATGCTGTTTTGGTTACTATAGCTCTGTAGTATAATTTGAAGTCAGGTAGTGTAATGCCTCTGGCTTTATTTTTTTGCTCAGGTTAAAGCAGCACATTTTTAAAAGATAGTTTAGTCAGTAATGAGTTACAGCAAAAAAAGAGAAAAAAGTGGCTGCTGTTTACTGCAAAGAATTAAGAACAAATAATATAAAAAATTAAGCTGAGCCAAACACACTGCATGAATAAAAGAGTTTAAGTAAATAAAATATCAAGAGAAAAGAATTTTAACCTGCATAAAATGTTTAAAGAAGTCAAATATTCCACCAAGCTAATGATTAATTGGAAAGTGATGACTGAAAAAATATATATAGGAAAAACATTTTGAAAAAGAACTTGAACTATGAGGAAAGTTGGTAAGTACATTATATATTTGAGATGATAAATAGCAAACGATAAATATTTGACATTTATTTTACTCTTTCAACAAATATAACATAAAATAATGGATTTTTGAGAAAATAGTAACAGTGATAAAAATCATCAAGGTGTATATTGGAAATATCTAGATATCTGAAATCCAAGAAGGCAGGCATACTAGGACAACAAACGAAAATAACCTTGATGTATCAAGGCTGTATCAATGACACTATTCATGTAAATTTCAACTCATTTGGGAATCAGAATTCTTATATATAAGTTTTGAATGGTGTGAGAAACTTTACATTTGAATTATTTGAGAAATTGCTACCTAGTATTTGCTCGTACAACATTTTAATGTTTCGGTTAATACTGTATTTCTTTTTTTTTTATTTCACTTTTAATTTAGCACCATCTACAACATTTAAGGAGATCTTGGTTGTAATCTTCCATATACCAACCAGGCTATTTTATGCAAGTTAATTAAGCTCACTGATACAATGGTACAATGGTGATAAAACTGCCTATCTCATAGGATTGCTCTGTGGATTAAACATAACTGTGTGAGTGTCTATTTGGCTTTGAGAAGACTATCTCATAAAATAAAAGCATTCAGTAAATATTTCATATCCTTACTCACTATATTTGCTTCTGAAGAAATTCTGAAAGATTTCAAAAGTCAA